ATTTTATTTTCTGAAGTTTATTCGCACATTGTTGAAAGTGACAGATTATTTGTCACTGAAGTTCCCACCACAGAGGTAGCATAATGGTATGAGCGTCTGCTTCCAATGTGGGAGGTGCCGGGTTCAATGCCGTACCGGTTACCGGCCGGAAAGCCACCGGATTCAAAGGCAAGAGGGATGTGTTACCCGGACCTGGCTCAATCCACAGTGGAACACCCCTCGCCCTGGGGATTTCTCGGGGTTAACGCGAGCGCTTCGCAGTTGTGCTACGGCACGGTGAGGCTTGTCATGCTCGGGGGGTTGCTTGAGCTACATGGCGGCTATTGGGTACCCTGGACCTTCGGCAAGTCCAGAGCCGCCGTAGCTCGTGGCCCCTACTTTTGCAAAAAAAAAATGCTTTTTTCGCGAAAAATAAAGGCATCATTTTATTTGAAAGCAGATTTTTTTTTCAGGCGTGTAAGCCCAACTGCAGAGTACCAATCCGTATTTCACTTTTAGTGTGCGGCATTGCGCGCATTTCAGGGTTGATACTTATGTATCTGGATGATATCCTGGTGTCCCGGCACTTTCTGCTCTGTATTTCGAACCATCAACCTTTTGGTTATGAGCTGAACACGATATGCACTGGGCTACTGCCTCGACACAGGATACACAAATTAGAACTTGCTCTGCACAATGTCTTGCAGGTCAAATATAAAAACAAACAACGCACTTAGGCGTATTAGTGCCATTCACCGCATCAACTTGTTTTTTTTTTCACCCTACTGGCACTGGGATTTGAACCAGTGACCTTTCGGTTTAGAGCTTACCACCTTACCGACTCGGCTATTCTGCCACGGCATGATAAGATGGTGTAAAAGTTTGTACACCTTATGCAGCCCATTTTAAATATTAAATGGTGAAATTTTATGTCCGTTCTACCACGACTGTCTTTTCGAACAGGAAAGCAGCGGTGAATTATCGTTAATAAGTGTCCCTACAAGAAAATCGCAAACAATTATCGATTGTAAAGGGTCCGGTATCCTCCCACCAACGCCTCCTCTAGAAAGATGCCTGCCGCATGAGACGAAAAAACAGCTGCCACACCCTTTCTCTCCTTCATTTTAAAATGTTCTCGGTCGCTAGCATCACCTGTGGCGAACGCTGCAACAATGCAACACTTTGCATAGCCTCCGAAACAGTCGTGCAATGTTGCAGGTCTCGAACAACTCTCGACTGACGCGCCCCTATGAGCCTCGGATGAAAGACGCTTAGCTGGTACGGCCGCCACCGTGATGATAGATGAATGGATGGATATGGCTGTACCCTTTAGATCGGGCCGCTGCTACGCCACCAAGACGTAATACTTAATGACCAAAAACTAGATTTATTTTTTTTCCTTAAATAGTGAGGTTGAGGATTCGTACTTCTCAGCGAAGGGTTGAATTTTCACTCGTGCCTTCACTTTAGCCACCAATCATTTAACCTCCTTCTAGTTAATTTTACCCGCTTAAAGTCTATTTTGCCCTCACTGTCCCTAAACCCCAGTGCTTTGAAAAACTCTGCGTCATCAACCTGAACTGCAGGGTGAAGCCCTTCACAGAACATTATCAAGTGTTCGGCAGTTTTTTCTTCCTCTCCACACGCACTGCATATCGTGTCTACCCCTTCGTATTTGGCCCGATATGTCTTTGTTCGCAATACTCCCGTCCTGGCCTCAAACAGTAGAGAGCTACCCCGAGTATTATGATAGATCCTCTCCTTGGCTATTTCCTGCTTAAAAGTTCGATAGATCTCTAGAGCGGACTTCTTAATCATGCCGATTCTCCATATATCGGTCTCAGCTTCCTTCACCTTCTTCTTAACCGATAATTCTTCTTGGTTTGGCCCCCTGCTGTTATCCAAATATTTACCAGTCAATTTTCTGATTCGCTTCCTCCATTTTGTATCGACATTCTTCATGTACAAGTAGCTGAATACCTTCCTAGCCCAACGCTCCTCCCCCATTTCTCTCAATCGCTCCTCAAATTTTATCTTGCTGCTGGCTTCCCTGTCCTCAAATGATGTCCATCCCATATCACCTTGTGCTCCCTGATTTGGTGTATTCCCGTGAGCTCCTAAGGCAAGCCTACCTATTCCACGTTGCTTAATTTCTAATCTTGCTTGAACTTCTGATCTCATGCACAAGACCGCATTGCCGAACGTCAGACCTGGATCCATGACCCCTTTCCATATTCCTCTCACAACATCATACCTATTCCACAGTGCCGTTTTTTATTACCGCTGCATTCCTGTTACCTTTAGTCGACACGTATATTTCGTGTTCCCTTATCCATACGGCCAGATATTTGTATTTATCTGTTATCTCTAGCGTGACCTCCTGTATTCTAAGCTCACTACTTTCATTGTCATTAAAAATCATGACTGCTGATTTTTCCTTCCTGAATCTGAAATCTAACCTATCTCCCTCATTACCGCAGATGTCCACCAATCTCTGCAAATCTTCCTTGTTGTCGGCCATTAGCACTATATCATCTGCGTACATCAATGCTGGTAGTGCCTGTTCAATGAGTTTTCCTTGCTTGACGAAATACAGGTTGAAGCCCAGTCTACTTCCCTCTAATTTGGCCTCTAATCCTTGTAGGTACATCATGAATAACAAGGGTGACAGAGGACACCCCTGCCTAAGCCCTCGTTTTACCTCTGTGGGCTTAATACCTGTTTTTCCCACTTTATAATAATATCCTTTAAAAGATTAGTGACTATCTTCCACACCTAGTGCGTACAGTACCCCCACAATTTCTCTTGAACCACGCTATCGTACGCTCCCTTGATATCCAAAATGCTAGCCACAGGGGCCTGTGTTCCTTTTCCGCTATTTCGATGCACTGCGTCAGTGAGAACAGATTGTCTTCCAACCTCCTGTGTTTCCGAAATCCATTCTGCAGCACCATCCCCCAGCACCCCCTCATGATAGTGTCGGTCGCGAGCGCCACCGCGCGGAGCTTGTTTAAAACTGAAGGCACGCAAACTCCGCTGGGAGAGCGAGCCATTCCTCAGGCATCTTTCTAGAGGAGGCGTTGCTCCCACGCACCACACACTTAGCAAGAAGCAAGCGATGGCCTGAAGCCTCCTTCATACAAACACTTACCTGAACCCATTGCGGTATGTAGCCCCTATTACCCAGATCAGCACACCGACAGGAGCAATTTATGTAAAGAAAAGGTGAACCTACGCCGCATCCTGTGGGCCTGTCCAAAGGCAGTGCAACAGGGTTGCACAATTAATACTGATGAGTAGTGGGAGACCACGCTTTTCAGCAGACCCAGGTAAACAGCTTTGGGCAATAGACGCCAGACTCTGCCCGGACGGCGCTGCGAAAAACGGTGCCACCAGCGCCCTCATTGCCACGTCGCTATAACTGGGTAGTGCAAAGACAGACGCCCGCAAGCGAATGTCCCCCTTCTTCTCTGGTGTTTAGACGCGGTTTCCTCAAAATTAAAAAGCTGGAAAGCTTCTTTTCGTCAATATACCATCGTTTCAGAAAAGTAGGAACCTTATCGACGCTAAGCGAAATACCGCGCAATACCGTTTCGGATGCATCCATCTCTCACTTCCTGTGCATTGAACTGTTTTATTGCGCATCCTCGAATGTTGTGTAGACGATTGTCTTCCGTTTGTACATAGTGCAAATGGGGATATATTGGCGATGCGTTGGGGACTGATGGGGATTCACTGAGAAACACCTAGAACGTTCGTTGGGGATTGGTGGGGATTCGTTGTACACCGAGAAAGTGGATACGTACGTATCCACAAGGAAAGGCCAAACTGAAACATCCCAGATAGCTCAGGCAACTGCGGAGCCCACGGGCAAGAAAAACGTTACGTTGGAAACGGCCAAAATTCACCGATTCAGTTGTATGAGCGATGCTGTGCGGCGACACGTTTATCGGGTGCTCCACCAGTCTGCATTTAACTGTTGCACGACACCACCACAGTCAGAGGCTCCGCAGAGTTTCATAGTCAAGGTTACCACGGTTATCCGTCTAGGCTACATTGAAACAATAACGAGATACCCACATTATCATACTTCGGTTCACGCCACCTCTGAACCAACCTAGCACTTTATGACGAAATTCACGTTAACCTCCGTCCACCTTTAGTATATTATATTAAATGGTCATTCGATTCACCGGAATTTTCACTTGCCTCCCTTAACGTATAGTTTGTAGTTTGTATGAGCCACTCCTCCGCGCCCTCTACCACCCCGGAAACTGTTCCTGCACGAGTCATTTTGTTCAAGGAGGCGATTACCCAGTTCTAAGAGTGCAATCTTTCTCAACGCATGCTTAGAATATGTTTGCGCCATGTCGTCCGCGCTTAAACATGGCGCCGCCTCCTTCACTGCACAGTCGCTTCACTGCACAGCCGTTGAACATTTGGCTAGGCGTTGATATAGTGTACTGGAATATGGGTAGTGTGTTCAGGGAGGAGCCGTGGCTGACGCAGTTTGTATCGATAGCCGCGAGATGGCGCCACCTTAGCATGGGCTGTCACTGCGAGGCGGCGCTGCCCATGCTACGGCAGCGCCGCCTTGGGAACCAATTTTTTTGTCCACGTGCGTCGCTTCACGCGATGCATGGCGAGAGAGGGTGCCTGAACACACTACTGGGCGGCGTTGACCAAGTGCACTTCGTCAACGCCCAGCCATATTCAACTGGTGCCTGCGTTTACTTGTGAACGTAGTTGCTCAAAAAGCAATACGCATATCTGAGGCGCAAGATCAATACGCAAGCATCACGTGACGTGTGCTTTTACTAGAAAATATATACGCAATTCTGAAAACCCCGGTGTGCCTTCAGCTGCACTGCTAATGCGACACTATGCACAAAGAAGGCCGGCAAAAAGACTATCTCTTCCGATTACATTTGCAGCAAAGCACACGGGTTCGCGGCCATTTTCCCTACCTCCTACAGCAGGTCCCGAGCCAGCAGCTCATTTACAACACACAAAACACAGGGTACTGTAAAAACCAGATTTATTTTTAAAACATCTTTCCCGCGACCTAGCTACAAACTATCAACAGGCGAAAAAAAAATCTAATGGAGGCCTAGTTTTTTTTTTTTACAAAGCAGGTTCGTAAAATGCTGCACAAACAATTCTGGTCCAGCAGAACAAACGACATGCTCGAGGAAACGACAAAAAGTATGTACACAATAGACATGCGAAATGCGAGTGTTGCAATGAATGTGTCGTAATGTCGCGTGCATACCTTTTACAAACACAAACGCGCTCCCGCGGCTCTCGCTCGAAACCTAGCCTTGGTAGCACGGACGTCGCACTCGCTTCACGTCACGCGACGAGGAGCGGAGGTGACGCCGCGCCTGGAACAACAACGTCTGCTTCGAGTGCACGTTTCGTTTGCAGCTAAGCAAATTCGAACGGCACGAGCGTTGAAGGCGAACCGCCTGTAAAAGGAGGTTGACTGTGTTCTGTGAGGATTATGTACAGCGTGAAACATGCCAAGCAATGAGGATTTTAAGCTATGTACAGTAGTGCTGTTTGATATCACAAGCAAGGAATAAAATTTCCTCGACTCATACCCCGTATTCAGAAACGCCCATCGACTTGAACTTGGATTGCCACCCCCTTCAATGTAGCACAAATGCATCGAACGTGCCACTGTGTTCAAAAGTGCACTGCATTGATGGCGGTGGCAAATAAAGTTGAAGTCGGAGCGATTCTGAATACGGGGAATAGCATCTTATTTTCTTTTTGTCGCTCCATCGAAGATGCCTCAATTCACTAAGCTATAAACAAGTGGAAGTGCGAAATTTCGTTCACAGTGTGTTCTGTGGTGAATAGCTGCAACATGTCCAGCACAGTTACCTAACGTTAATGGCATGAGACTAAACTTTGCCAATACAACTAGCGTTTGAAGAGGTAACATTGCATTCTTTTGCGCATTTACAACCTGGCTGGCACACTGTCACAAAATCAGTTGTCTCCAACACCTGGCTAAGATAAGAAGACCCATTTACTACCTTTAATTTTAATTTGTTATTTAAGTTAATTCATTATATATTTATTTCAATATTTCATTCCATTTAATTATTTCCAGCAATTAGACAATATTGTATCGTTCATTATCCTAAATGGGGTGACACAGTGCGACAAGAGAGACACTTATATTACCAGACCTTCTCTCAACCAGGGAAGCCATGGTCTGTGTGAAAAATACTCCATGCAAAATACTTCTTAAGTGTTTCCACGAAGAGAACTAGTAGCAACAGTGCAACAAGAAAATAAACACAAATCACTTAAAGCACCGTAACCAGAAATCACAGCTTCTCACTGCACTGAAGTCGTCAATCAGTGACCGCTCTTAGCACTGCCTGGCCTGGTCAAACGAAGCTCGTTTGACGTTACAATAACGAAAGCTAAGTGGCTAAATCAATTTACAAGAAAGAAAACCCATTCGAGAAGCTTGGTGAATGCACACACTTATACTTCCTTGGCACTGGAAGGAAAATTTATATCGCATTCAAGCACACGCTACCCATCCTTTAGCGAGAACACATCCATCGCACTTAGCACCGTTCGAACACCTGTTCACTAGAAAGAAGTTTAGACACCCCAAGACAAGAAAAAGCTGAATATTCTCATTGCTTCCCCCAGACGGCCCTGAATTTGGTCTTTTAGGTTGTTCTAAAATGAATTAGCATGTACCATGAAATTCCATCCCATACTCGCATAAATTGCTAAAAAACTCTAGCTTTGAAAGACGTAGTGGCATCTAAACTTTTATTGCTGACTGTACATTCATTCATTAAGGGTGGGGATTCAAAAGCCAAACTCATACTTCAAAAAAAAAAACCTAAAAATTTTAACACAAAAACACTGAAAACTACAAGGCTGACACAACACAGCAATCAGACTTCCCAGAACATTAAAAATCTATGGTGCTGCAAACTCACGAGGAAATTATAGAAGTGTTGTAGCATAAGTTGCCAATAACTATGACTACATTTCTATCTTATTGTTTCTTTTCATTCTATTAAATCAATGTCAGTTTTCAAAATTGCTTACTGTATTTTGCTCTGTGATATTGGCGGTGAGTCGGAAATGGTATTCACACATCCACATTTCAAGGCTCTTTAGGGCGCACAGAACACAAGCACGACAGACAGACAAGCGCTCGTCTGTCTCTAGTTCCCGTGTTCTGTGCGCGCTAAGAAGAGTTAAAATATGGACACGTACCAACTCGCCCAGCTATCACTTATATTCGCACATCTTCTAAAACCCAGATCTCTCTTAAAGTAGGTTGTAGAAAGTGGGCATATTGAGAGCCGAAACATTCTTATATTATCGGCAAATACTGGGGAACAAGCAGAGACTTTAGACGTTTTCAAAGCAATCAAAGTGCGTAGCTATATGGCTGAGAAAACACAGAAGCAGGCTTTTAAGAGGAAGTTACTAGTCTCCCACACCCTTAGCAATTTCGCTGATCCTAATAATTGCATTCACTACAATGCACGCACTGCAAGGACACGGCAGCAAGTCAGCTGAACACCAATGCATGTCCCGCCTTTTGTCACAAGATTTCAGCAAAGTAGACTGACAACAGGGCTTGTTGCAGAGCTGGTTGACTAAGACTTGAGCAAAAAACAGATAAGGCGCAAGGACGACTGAGACAAAGCGGGAAAAAAATCCGACAGACACGGGCGCCAACTTACAACTGTTTGTTTACAGAAACCGCGCCAATCTATAGGCTGCCAAACAAGGTAACCTCTTAGCAAGAGATACTTGACAAAACAAGCAAATGATGTTTTAGTTTCTTGTGAAGATTTCTTAGTTATGCCTCCTTTGACCGTCCATGAATTCCTGCAGTTTCTGTAAATAACAGTTGGAAGTTTGCACATGTGCCTGTCAAGTAGTATAGTAGTATCTTTGCTTTGTCGCCGTCGTATTTGTGCCTTACACGTTTTTTCCCTAGATTGACAAAGCTATCAAGATTTACATTAGCACATATTTTCCAGTTGAAGTACACAAAACAAGCTTTACTAACTAGACCCCTACCTCTAGTATGCAAATTAAAAACATTAAAACCAGAACATATGCTCACACCTCGTGCATGTATTTCAGCTCATTTCTCTCAAAACAGAGGAACTGTTCTCTCAAACGCCACACAAACGCTGCGTGACAACGCAAGACACTGTCAGTCCACTGGAAGATTGTCCATGTGATAACCGTTTGCACTATATACATTGACAATGTACCCTTTCCGCGGGATCTCGACCCAACGAATGACAAGTGAACACATTGCATTCAAGTCAGCCTGAAGGACACCAAAGCCAATTTAGCAAAAAGAACAACCTGATTAAATTTAGGTCAGGCAACATTTGCATGCTTAAAGCAATTTTGCAACCGCGAGTGGATCAATCTGTTAGCGCATCGAAAACATGCTTGAATCTCTACATGCGCACGATGTTCGGTGTGCAAGTGCCAACTTTTGCACAACAAAGGCAACATCAGTGAACCTCTCGCCTCCCTCGAAACTTTCTCTCGAGTTTTTGTCCGCAGAGGTCTGTGCTGAAAAAATGATGCAACGATGCAAAAAAAAACCAAAGGTGAAATGCGTGACCAGTCCATCGACACTCTGCTGCTATTAACAAAGCGGCGCGTCAGTGTGACAAACGAAAAAGACACAAAAAACAGGACGGCAGAAATGATGGTACACTCTACAACGTGCTCCGAGGGTGATGTCAGACGGTGATGTCACCGAACTCCTGGTTCCAGCGCTCGTAGAACTCGAGGCTCTGTGACGATACGCTGCAACGGACTTTCTTGAGTGAGGTCATGAAGTCCTCGAGCGTTATGTTACGCATCTAGCAATGAGAAGAGCAAAACAATGCACACAACAGGTTACACAGAAGACAGTATGGATTAAGATCTGCAAGCTACTACCACGGCCGTTGAATCAAAGCGCACAAGGTGCGGCCTGCTGCGTGGAGTCGCTTAGCGTTAAGGACCGAAGGAGAGTGTTGTTGACAGTTCCGACCGCAACTTTCGAGGGGGGCGCTAGTAGTAGGGGAGACGCGGGTGAGAGAGCGCACCTTTTTTTCACAGCGGTGCGAGTTTACCGGGCAACGATAGCCGATATTCGTGTTAATCGTGATGTGCTGTGCCTCTTACAAACCGAAGTGTAGGTCAGCTGGGTAATTTGAGCGGCAGCATGCTGAAAAACTGTTCCGTTCCCCTGGACACGTCAAACGCAAAGAAAAATCCCAATTTGGCCTACCATGAATTTCAGTCAGATGCTGAGCGCAGACAAGCTTGGCTCAGAATTATCTCCAGGCACGGACGGTACTAGAAGAAAAGAAACAAGGTGGGAAGCCAGATACCATTCTTTGGTTTGTTCTCTACACTTCACAGAAAATGACTACAAAAAAGGCAATGAACCGACATTGCTTTCACCAACTGCTGTCCCAATGCTGTTACCAAATTACCCATCATATACGCGAAAAGATAAGCGCTCCTAGGATAAGGAAGCTGCCTCAAAGAGAAGTAGCAGATGGCAGTACATCAGTTCGCACAAGCAATAGTGTAAGTGGCCCAGATAAAAGTGCACATGGAGATGTCGAGCTTGATTTCTTCAGCGAAGACGAACATGCTGCAGCTGCGGTATTTCGGAGGCAACATCCGACTTTGCACTGCCTACTGAAAGCGAGCACCAAACAAGCTCATGTACAGCTAAAATGACCCAACCCTTGATCTCAAGCGGACGATGGAAGACGCAAAAAGAAAAAAACTAATCCCCTGCAGCAAATATCCTGCAACATTCAAGTCCGGAGAAGTGAAAACTGGTGTGAACTTTTTCACTAAGCCCTCCTCCCTCATTTTACAGCGTGCCCTGCACTACGGTGTGGTTCAAGCACCCCTCAGCACACGAACCAGCTCAGAGACGTTTTTCTGAAACTGCTGCTTCGATCACTGCTAGCCAACTTGACAGGCAACGTCAACGCAACTGTCCAGCGCCTCATAAGGCTGGCACACAAGTCCCTCTTGAGCAAAGTGCAGCCCCGTGACACGAACATGGGACAAACTTCATCATTAATGCTTTCTAGTTTTTAAGCATGAGGTCAAAGCTGGCTGCTGCCACGACGAGCATGTTTAGTCACGACCGGTCCATCGCTAGCAGAAAAAGGAATATCCTCGGCATCAGAGGAAAAGTCCTATCGTGGCGTAAAAGAGTGCACTGAGCGGACACGAAATCTGACATGTTCACTCGCAGCACTTTGACACGAATGCAGCGAGCCTGCGGGCGCTACACACGCGCCGCTTCCCAGGAGCAAACGGTTCTTGAACAGTTGCGCTGCGGTGGCAGTCAAATGAACTAGGCCTCTCCTGTGGTTTTCGGCGCACGCAGCAAGGCCACACCTGTGTGCTTTGATCGAGCGGCCGTGCTGCTACAGTTAATGTTCATCACAGCTTCGTTTTAACATGAATATAGTTTTGTAGTATGCAAAATTTCACAATAGATGAAAATTCCTGGCACATCAAAGAAACACCACTAAAAATTTAATTATTTTGACTGATTATTCATTATACCACATATTCAATAGACCCTTTTCACAATTGTAAGGCTAACTTTCCTGCTACACAGTTATCCCGAATAATGGCGGCTGGTCACTTTCTGCATACAGAGCGTCCCAGCCCAGTTTACTTGCACTATGACATAGAAAATGTAGGTTCATCTGTCTGAACATTAACAGACTCCACTCGAAGCAGGGCTAATATGCAGTGCACGGAAGTGCACTTGCAGATTGTGAAAAGGGTCTGTTGTACGTATGCTATAAAAGGCATGGTTTGAAAATCGAATTATCCAGAGCAAGCACCAAAAGCGATGAAAAGGCTGAAAACCGTAAACCAAGACTGGGTGGCACCCAGTGGTACTGTTCATAATCAGAAGACACAACTTGAACATATATATCTTGTAAGTGAGCTATTGTAATGTTATTCAAGCCCGTCCAGTGCAGTGTAGCGAAGCATACAAAACTACGAGCTCTAGGAATAGTGGTTAACTGCATGAAAATATATCTTGCTTACAGTAGCTTCGCCAGCAAAAAGAAAGCAAGTTGTACCCTAAAGCGCTTACTATTTCGAATTGCAGATTCGAACTTCACACCTTCGCGAGATAAAAAATTATCACGAGACTGCAGCATCCAGTACAGTACCAAATCGGCGACGTTGGCACATAGATGTGCTGCACACAACTTTACCCACACGCACCACTGGTTTGCGACACAAGTTCGACTGATACACGCAGCTGCGTCTCCCAGCAACGCCACGACGTCATCGCTATCATAATTGGACAAATCCGACCAAGAACGCACTTTGCAAACACACTTGTATTAGTTGCCTCTAGAGTTTAAAAGCTCTAGAGAGGCACTTTTGCTGTCATTGTGCTGCTTGTTCTGTACAGGCATGGAGCTTTTTTTCAATCCCTTGGGACACAGAAATGTTTTCATACCACATGTGGTCACTAACAGTTTTGCGGTTATGCACTCAAACATCACTATAACGAAGTTTCATCTTACACGAAAATATGTTCAATATATCCAAAATTTTGTTATAAACACATATTTCTTACACTTTCTATTGCAAAACTATTCATTTACGGTGCTTCGTTATAATATTTCTCTGTACCCAGGTTCGTTGTATTACAGTTTGGGGGTATTCCTTTTAGTACACTGTTATCAATGGCATAGGTGTCCAAGGATGTTTATCCGCTGGTTATCAAAACCTGTCTAGAAAACGAGAGGATCTTTCTATCTAGAGTGCAAAATGGATATAAGTTAGCTTTAAGTCGCCCATTCTCTGTCAAAATTTGTAGTAGCATCTCTTGCAAGCATGCAACGTTCGTGCTGTAGTCGGATTCATGTCAAATCGCCAAACACGAGTTTGGTAGCTACCGCATGTTTGATGCCTGCTTTGTGTAGCTAAGCAGCCTCTACGTATACAGTACTAGCCGCGTGTAGCTGGTGCAGCGAACTCATATACTGTTTTTACGTGATTAAAGTGACAGAAGTGCCAGAAATAGCGTAAAAAATCTACGAGAGTTTGAAAACACTTGAAACACACAAGCTAGAGCTATGAAATAACAAGAGTTTCCGAAACATTAGCATATGCTGTTTGTTCTAGAGTCGCCCCATTACAGTGGTCTAGCGGCTAAGGTACTCTGCTGCTGACCCACAGGTCGCGGAATCGATTACCGGCTGCGGCAGCTGCATTTCCGGCGGAGGCGGAAATGTTGTACGCCTGTGTGCTCAGATTTGGGTGCACGCTCTTTAACGTGCACTCGAATCTGAACCCCAGGTGGTCGAAATTTCCGGAGCCCTTCACTATGGCGTCTTTCATAATTATATGGTGGTTTTGGGACGTTACACCCCCCATATCAATCAATTGTTCTAGAGCCACAGATGATGGTTACAGCAAACTTTAGAAAGCAAGGAGTTTGACAGCAAAAGTTGCCCAGTTTGTCTCAAGAGCTATGCAAGCATAAACCTTTTCCAGTTTATACTACCTACTTTAACCTACTTTTAACCCCTATACTATAAACATTTAAAAACCAGAAAGGTGCCATTAGTTTGATTGCAATGGTACATATTCTATAAAACACCACTTTCACTCCACCTGTCAGTGCTCGTTAATCTTGCCCTCAAATACACTAAAACTTCAATATAACAAACCCGAATATAAATATTCATTACGAAGTAATGAAAAATAGTATAGCAACAAGCAGTGTTAGGAATGTACCTTTATAAAGAAATTTTGAATATAACAAACATAATTGTGTAACACGCAACTTCGTTACAATGAGGTCCGAGTGTATTATGCAAGATAAGCTAATTAAAAATGACTGGTCCACAGTGCGAGACCGTTCTGTGTTTTCGTCTTGTGAATTTGTGCTTTTTGAGCTAATTTGATTGATAAGTGGTGTTTAACGTGCCGAAACCACCATATGATTATGCCGTAGTGGAGAGATGCCGTAGTGGAGTGCTTTGGAAATTTTGACCACCTGGGGTTCTTTAACGTGCACCCAAATCTGAGCACACCGGCCTACAAAATTTCCCCCTCCATTGGAAATGCAGCCGCCGCAGCCGGGGAGTACCTTAGCCACTAGACCACCGCGGCGGGGTTGCTTTTTGAGCTCAAAATTTCTGTCATCCACGGTACTCTTGTCCTAAAGAACATAAATGCAGTGTCAGTATGGAGCAATATTCAACCAAGCTTAAAGCATTACTAACTATAGCCCCACAGTTTACTATAAAACCCTATAAATTTAACAGGCATGTAGCATAATGATACTCTTGCAAACTTTATGACTTTCTCCGTGCACCACATTGATTGATATGTGGGGTTCAACGTCCCAAAACCACCATATGATTATGAGAGACGCTGTAGTGGAGGGCTCCAGAAATTTCAACCACCTGTTGTTCTTTAACGTGCATTCAAATCTGAGCACACGGGCCTACAACATTTCTGCCTTCATTGGAAATGCAACGGCCGCAGCCGGGGTTCGATTCTGCAACCTGCGGGTCAGCAGCCAAGTACCTTAACCACTAGACCACCACGGCGGAGCGCCGTGCATCACATCAAATGTATTATTAGAGTGAAATAACAAGGAGTGAATTATTATTTCTCACAGTGTCCAAGCAAGGCCTGCTAGCATGTGCATCCCGAATGCAGAAACTCTGTAGAATGGTCATTGCACATAACGTGCCATTTCACATGATGCCCCTGCATCAGTTGTTCTTACAATGTGTTATACTATGTCGGTTATTCTGAACTCTGCAAATTTCATGCATCGTGTAATTTGCATTGCAAGGCCTGCAGTTGTAGGACATGCTCGATTACATGCACAGCATTACAACTTACATGCAAGACGTGTCAAGACGTACGTGGTCAGGAAGGCACATGACACCAATGAAATTTGCAACTCTAGGAGTGTCGCGTGGTATGGTAAAGAAGTGTGAAATTGTGTTAAACAATTCATGTAGCATTATGTGTCGTGGCTTAAATGATACCTCACATTTTGCTGTGTAGCACTCAGAAATATGCAAAAAGCATAACTCAAAATACTGGCAGCAAAACACTTTCATCAAGCTTCCGTAAAGACCCAGACGGTCCCCGATAGCCATAGTGCTTGGGTCAACCGCAGCAAAAAGCCATTACAAGATTTTCTCAGCATCAGAAGCAGATGGTACCGTACAAGTACTGCATGGCAGTAAAGCTCCAGTTGTGAGCAAGATTCCACACATTTACAGACACGCAAGGCGTAAGTTTTGGCGGGTTAGCGAGTCCCACAGTGAATTCTACCTGCCTTTCGTGTGAAGCAAATCTCGCATCTCGGCAATTGCTTCTTGCTTAATTCAGAGCCCGACTCGCGAGCCTGCCAAACAGAACAGAGCGAAAACACTCAGCACAATATATGAACTGCATGCATAAATTATCAACTAGAAATTTCACTGGCTCGTGTAGTCGACCGCCAAAAGCAAAGTTCCATACAGCATGCAACATTCAGAACTGAGATGAACGCCCAATTATTCACAAATGCATTTCACTTGCCTTTTTGGGGTCGACGCACCGGACTTGCTCAGGATTGAGCTCTGCAAGAACGGAACAAACCCAAATTAAACATTTCTTTCAAGGTCTCACACAATCAAATCTGAAACCACAATATGTAACATGTTTACTCGCATAATAGGTGTACTTTTTTTCCAAAGAATCCGGTGCCAAGTTTAGGATGCATCTATGAGTCAGGATAAAATTTCCAAAAATTTTAGTTCAGACAGCAGCATAGACCGCCGATAATGTAAGCTGCTACAGTCGCAAATTTCTGCACTATAACTGAAACAACCTTCTTCATAGACTACACTAGAGCAAAACATGTTGAGCATGCAGTCTTGCGTGTCTGAGAATTGGAGGCACGCAATGCAGTGTGCCTGCTAGAATTCAAGTTCCCAAAAATTAACAGCGAAGGACTCGCACTGCTAACGAAATGAATGTGGAAAAAAAATATTGCAAAAAAAAAAGCACCATCGCTGAAATTCACGGATGTACTTTTCAGGCCACCACCAAAATTTTGTTTGATTTCATGGGCTCAAACCCCATATCAAAAACACAGCAATCGAATAGCAAACCATCTTCGAGTGTTGCAAGCACCACCCATGCCCCCTTTTCTTCAAGTAGAGCCACAATAATAAGTTATGTTTGTTCTATACAAAACCGCAACTTTGGGTCGCCCACGAACCCCACTGAAAAACAACTAACGCTGCTCAGGCCTAGCCTACAGTCCGGGATATTGTCGCGCTAAGTTTGTACAAACCATTATGAATACTAGGCGTTGAAAAGGTCATACTCAAGCTGTGATCCAAGAGTACCGGACTTGATACAATGTTTAGGTTCGCGGCTGGGAAATCAACGAAGACGAAAATCCGCCGAGCACAGCGGCAGCCAAGTCGAAAAGATTTTAAATTTGTGAACAAGGTATCAGACGTGACAGCTGTGATGTTTTTCCCAACAGGACACTAAATGCGCACTTGAGGAGAACGTAGTCAGACATTCTACGCGAGGCGCGTGCAGCCAGAGCCATCCATGTGCCAGGACAGTTTACTCAGAGGCCCAGGTCTTCCCGATTCGGCCCTTCCTCCTAACCGACCTTCCTCACCCAGTGAGCCCACGCAGCATTGCTGTGATCTTTTTTTCTTCTATTTTTTCTCGCTCATGCAAGACGAGCGTTACAGTGCAAACGCCACTCACCGAGACGGCCGAGGAGGTGGCCATAGCGCTCGCGGTGGCAACCATTGAAGCGGAAGTAGTAATTAGTGACTCGCAAGTAGCAATACGCAACTATGCTAATGGCCGTGTCTCCCAAAAGGAGCTGCAAATCCTAATGACTAATGAAGAGAAACTTTGGATTAAAAATGACACTTTCGTCATATGAATCTCCGCACACACACAAACCCCGCTGGCCGGCAACAAGGTGGCGCATGCGGCGGCTCGAGCACTCGCGAACTGAGCCGTTGCGAACGCTGACGCCGCCTCGGCCGAAGAGCACTCGCGAACCGAGCTGTTGCGAACGCCGACGCCGCCTCGGCCAAAGTTCTACGCGAGGAAGAGTAGTAATGGGAGGACGGCACGACTAGTTACCACGAAATAACACAGCACTACAAGCTAGGAAGGCGAAAGTACTCTCCGCCACACAGCGGGTTAAATAAAAAACAGGCAGTTGCGTGGCGACAGCTGCAAACAGATACTTATCCCAACCCAGTTCTCTTTAGTCTATGTTACCCTGATCTGTATTTAACAGAAAAATGCAAGGTTTGGGATTACAGGGATACACTTGCCCACATACTATGGGAATGTTCGAGTTCAGACGACAGCAAAGACAAACACCACGAACAGGCACTTCCGGACCGCAAGGTACGCTGGGAGGGGGTTCTGCTCAGCTCCTTATTAGAACAACAACTGTAGGCCATCCAGCGAGCCGAGGAAACCGCCCAAGGGCTTGTGGCTGACGCTTAGGCTGGGGCTGATAACCGCCCTAAGTCAACTTTGCTGGACTTTATAAAGTTATCATTCTGTACCGTGCAAATACGGTACAGAACTACTGATTATGGCCCAATGTGGGGTGCGCCTTTTACACTCAAACCTCATTATAACAAAATTGTGTCATACATAAAAATAGGTTTATTATTTCCGAAAATTCATTGTATCTATTGTATTTATTGTATCTATTGCGAGGCCAAGCAACAGACGCACCACTGCCACTGAGCTCCGCAGCCATGTTCCAGCCAGCGCAAGCCTGGCAGCCGCAATCTAACCCGCCACTGCCGCCATTCCCAACTTCTCGCCTAGAGTCATGATTTGAGGACTTGGCAGTGGCCTTGGAGCACAATAATATCTCGCTCTAAGGATTCATGTACAAGCCACTAGAATATCATCTTCCGCGTGACCTCAAGCGCCGCCTCACGTACTTCTACGGGAGCCCTCACTCTAACGACGATCTGAGAGATGGTGTGCACCAGCATCATGGCATTTAACATCTTTTTTCAATAAAGCAACACCACGGCACTTGCCTCATCACCTTCAAGGAAGACTCCACACCACAGCCAGTCCGGACCACTCTATTGACAACAACTGGTCACACAGGTGACACAGACCACCGTTTCGCGCCAACCGACCCATCATAGAGAGACTCAGAGTCCAAGAGTCCATGGCTGCCGTTTCCGGCATGCCAGCGTGCCACTGGCCTGCACACCATCGGATTCACTGCAGAAACCTGCTCAGCTGCACTGTCTGCCCTAGATGATTCCACAACCCTGCAGAGTCCTCGCCTGTCCCAACACCTGCGGAAGCCCTTGATACCACGCACACCATGGAGGCAGAGCCCGCTGTCGCGCTGCACACCCTCAGTTTTCTCAACACAACAGTTCCTGCAGCTGAAACGCTTAGAGACTCCTCCACCTACAACTCAAGAGGCAGCGAGGAATTTTTACAGCTGCCCAAGAAGATTTACTCTCGCCTTTCTGAGGAGCCACGCCACATGACCTGTCGCCAATGCACAAATGAGGTACCATCTACAAACGAGGTACCATCTACACAAACGAGGTACCATCTATTATGAGCAGCCATTCCCTGTTGTCTGGTCGTCGCTTCATCGAAGGCTGTACCGGTTAATACGCACAGTGCACAACCTGTGGTCTGTCCGGAACATCCATTGCACAATCGACAAATGCACCATCGTCGACAGTCAAGAAGCTGCAATGTGCGACCCTTGGAGGGGCGTCAACCATGGCATTCACACCCCTTCCACCTTCATTTCTAACGCGCCCCTCTGTTTTGCTTGCTGCTGCTAGCGACGCGCAACCATCGGGGTCCTCGCCGGCTGCGTGGTTCCCAGTGCCGCCCATTGGGTTTGTTTGACTCCTCCGCAGTCCGTACGCCATCCACCCTGACGATATTCGAACTTCCCATTGGTAAGTCTAGGAACTGCCACACATTTGTATAGTATTTATATGTTGTTCTTACATATTTTACTTTCCTTTCCATCATGTAAGACTGCATCGAACGCGCGGAGCCTTTGTGGTACAGCGCTAGTGGCAGCCAGCCAGCTAGAAAGAAAGATGACGAGCACGAGTGGCTCGTGGCACAAGGCGCCTAGAACGATCATGTGCTCCTAGCTGGCTGGGCAGCACGTTACGTCTTCGACTGCTCATTGAAACAGCGATGACGACTCGTCTACGCCGGATGTCGCCATGTCGCTACAAGGGTATGTGAAGCACACTGTACACCTACTGACCAACTGGGTGCTTTAATATGTGCTCTGTACATGGCACGAAAGCTTTTCAGCATATTGCTCTTTTCCAAACTGATGTCTGTAGCTTAGAAGAACATTACGTAAATTCACCTAACTTCAGATTACATATAATAGAAGAATAAATTACGCAAAGTATGTAATCTCAGACAAAAGATTATGGCCTTCAGCAATTGATAACATAAAAAGGTGCATTCCCCCTTACACAAATAAGAGCATTGTGCTTTATAGATTGCCTTGAGCACACAGATGTGACGTAACTATGCAATGAAAATATATGCTATGTTCTAAATAAGCGTTACTTCAGCCTAGATTATGAATGTTTACCTTGTATTTGTTTTTTTTAATGTCAGTTTCTATCCTATTTTTATCAGTTTGCTGTGCTTATTATATAATATTTTATTAATGCAACAAGCAGAAGTTCTTGTCATATTGTGGCTGCTATTGTATGGGAAGGTGGGACCAGTCAAGCTGCCCACACGCAGCTTGTACCTATGTAGCACGTATGTCTTGCACCTATGTAGCAATAAACTTCAAAACTAAACATCCCAATTTTCAGTCTAAACTTGAATTGTGAAATGAGGTTCCTCTCCTAATCAACTTGAGAACTTTTCATGGCAGAGTAAGCATACAGACTCTTCCATGCAGAAACAGGACAAAGATGGCAGAAAAACCGCACCTCTTATGGGACCCAGAGCGGCGTCTTTGGCTAGCGCCGTCAGGTCACTTCCCGAGTAGCCGCTGGTCACCCTGCAGGATGCAAAAGTAACAAGCATGCCCACATTATGGAAGAATGCAGTCAACGCACAAGACTTAAAATTAATGAGCGGCTGGAGGAGTTATTATCATCATCAGCCTGACTGCGCCCACTGCAGGAAGAAGGCCTCTCCCGCGAGAACACATAATATATACATATGCATCTAATGCATGTATCTACACATACTATGCATACTATGCAAGATATAAATATAATATGAATATGACATGTATTAATACATATATACATACATACATACATACATACATACATACATACATACATACATACATGCATGCATGCATGCATACACTTTGTTGGGACAACGAAAAAACGAAAAAGGTGCCTATACTCTAATAACAAGAGATAGAGCTATTTTACTCTTTTTGGGGAGTTCCTAGTGGACACATATATGACTCTCTGACTACTGCGAGCTGACTCTCTTTGGAGAGCATTACACTGTCTGCGAAGAGTCGCGTGAAGCATGACTCTCCAGGAGACAGTTAATGCAACGAATCTCCAGAAAGAGTAGTAAATACTCTTTCTTTTTTTGACAGAGCGTGGGCGAACAAGATGACCATGTATTCTGATGAACAAATGATATGGGCAAGGGCACAGGGGACACTGAAAGATTGCAGGCTGATTGATGCGTGCCGGAGCTCGCAAACTATATGCTAGTATTAATAGTGATTGCTGGGGTTGTATGTCCCAAAGCGAGCGATATGATTAAGAGAGACAACATAGTCGAGAGCTCCAGAAGTTTCCACTAACTGGGGTTATTTAGTGTGCCCCTGAATCCGAGCACACTGGCTTCTAGTATTTTGCTTCCATTGAAATTCGGCCACCGTGCCGCAGCTCTGAAAATGCTGTTTGGGGTTCCGTTGAGAGCTCTTGGCCTACCTAATGATGAAACATTTGAACCTACTGTACAGATATTCATAAATCCCCGACTACTGCAAACAACATTAAGTTTATCATTTACAAGTATCAAACACTTACGGACCCTTGCAAATTCTTAACACTACACTGACTATAGGTGCAATGTTACAAAGGAGACCACGTTCACAAAGATATGTCAACACACCCACCTGGCAACCATTTTAAACTAAATTAGTATAGCCAGGAAGGATTGGAGAGGTTCATACCACTGCCAAATGTTTCAATTTCACATGCAAATACACCCAAACCAAGATATAACGAACTCGGATATAAAGAAACAATGGTTATAATGATGTAAATGAAAAAGTAGCCTTGCAAAAGCTGCAATGTTAGGAAGAAACCTTTATAATGAATTTTAAGAATATAACAAAGTTTCTTAAGCACAGGACGCAAGTTTTGTTATAATTAGGTGTGAGTGCATATTTATGCACACACAGACGTATAAAAACGTGGCTGAACCCCCGAGAAACATTTTTGGTTATGCCCCTAACCAACTGAACCAGACTGTACAACACTTACCTTGCCAGGTACTTCAGCTTGTCAAGCGACAGCGGGCTATTTTGCTTCCTGAGCAGCTTTTCCAGAAGCACAAGCCGCGTTTTCTCGTCTGGCAGGGTCACGTACACCCGCTTGGTGAAACGCCTGCAGAGAGACACACATGTAACGCAATAGTCCACAGCTCGTTCATCTCGCAAGGTGCCGATTCGGGTACTGTTCAGTTTTGTACAGCAGCACCCAGTTCATTACACTGCCGATCAATGATGATTACATTACATTGCTAATACACTCAGACCTCAATATAATGAAGCCAGATATAATTAAATACCAATTATAATGATGCAATGAAGAATTGTTTATAATGAAGTTTGAGTATAATCACACAATTACCATAGTTACATTAATGCATGGTAGCCTTAGTCATTGGCAACGCATCAAACAGTTTAAAGATCATTCTAATCCACCCCGGATTCCTGTGCGGGCCTAAAGATGCAAAGTTTGCTTCCATTGGAACAGTTTCCGATATTTTGTTTAGTTACCCATTACCACGTTTTTTTATCTTTACCATCACCACAAAGCTTAAAGTACATTGTAAATGGCTTCAATATGCATGCCGTTAAATCATGCTAACGTTAGAGCTGTAGCCGTCTTTACGCTCATAAAACATTCAAACATGTTTAGGCAAATAACCAGAAGCCATTAGGGTCCTGCCTCTAACATCTCGAAAAATAACCCCCGTATAATTACGAAGTACTTTCAAAGTGGGAGACCATATTAGAACAGTGTGGCATTCTTGAGCGTTCGGTTTAAATTCAAGTCAGTGATTTTAGGTTTCGATGTGTGCGGAAATTCTTTTTTGTTCAACTTTCTGCTCAAATTGAAGGTCCAATACAGAACCACCCCTGCCACGCCGATCATCTCACAGGCTCAAAGCAGAGACTTTGTGAGGTGATCAGTTTGCTTCTGAAGCGGATTACGGAAGTTAGCTTTGACGCATTGGCAAGCTGTCATGGGATCAGGCATATCGAGATTAAACTGCCCAGTGTGACGACGCCTTTATAGATAAGCAGTGGAAATGCACAGAGGTCTCATTATGGTTGTTATGCACTGCCTAGCACACAATGCACCAGTATAAGTTATTTGCTAACAGCGCCATCATGCAAACACCATGGTGCTGCAGTTGGCTGTCCTTCCTACTGCCAGACTGCTGGAGGTGCCACAGAAACATTCTGCTTTCGGAATGAAAGCACTGTCCATTGCCGCGCGCGCATGTGACCGAGTGCGAACCAAGCATGATGTTGGCATGACTAGCACTCGCAATTAAATGCTTGCGTACTAGGGATGTGCGCAGAATAATTTTAGGTCGGAAACAGTAGTGATTCAATTGAATAATTATGAATGGAAAAATTCGAATTGTATATATTATATATTACATAGATAAATAAATATATGCTTTCGTCAGGACCCAAAAACTCCACACAATATATTAAAAACTGAAACAAGGCCCATGTGCCAAAGGGCATTGGAAGAGCTTTGAATAGGGCACAATTTTGAATTTAAGTAGAATGCAAGTTGGCTTAATATGTTCATTTTACCTTCAAATTAACTTCAGGAAATAACATGAGGTCTAATATGCGTTTCTTTCATTTCAAATGCTTAGAGATTCAAAATACCTGCTATTCACGTCGATGAAATTCAAGTACTTCTATATTAATTCGTATATTCGAAGCACTCGAATATTGGCACATGCCTAGACAAGACTGCTCGAGTAATGCAAAAAGCAATAACTTGTTTTTTACGAGGGCCAGATTTTTGAGCCAGTTTCTCAGTCCCAAGGATGAGAGGGGTCAGCCACAAAAATTTGATGCTGACCATACCTCCTTCTCGGTATCACCGAACATGTGACAAGACAAGACAGATATCGCGAAAATATGCTGTACTTAAACAACGCGTGCCGATACGTAGGTGCTCACCTGAGAGCAGCGTCGTCGAGCTCTTGAGGCCTGTTCGTGGCACCCATGACAAGAATCCGCTCCTCATTCCCTGTGTGCAGCTGCGAGAAAGGGCAGTACACTCAGCTACATGCAACTATCTTGTACATCCTCACGAGTAATACAAACGTCTTGCAAGAGTAGTCGCGTGTTTAAATTTTAGCCAACCTTGAACATAGTCCATGCTCATAGCAGGCCCGTGGCCCAGGGGCTACGCCTCCTCCCTCTAGAATTTTAATGGAGGGCGTGTTTTATCTAGTTACTGAGGAAAAAATAAAAATAGACATTTCTTAAGGCATCTAAGAAGTGCCCTCTCCCCCTCCCCACCCCCCGCAAAAATTAATGACTACAGGCGTGGCTCACAGCTTGATAACTTGGCACTTGTGAAATGGTACGCACCTAAAAGAGCAGTGAACAGGGCTGGGAGGACATTTCAAGCTCACGCTGCACTTCTTATTGTCAGTTGCGATGCAACGATGCACAAGACATCAAGGAAAAACTTGCGAGGAGCACACAGTGTGGCAGCATTGTAGTGCTACGCATCCATCACACAAGATCATGACCTCGCAAAGGCAAGCAACACAGCAAAACACGTGCATTTTCCTGTGAGTGGACAACCTTTCCCGTTAGCGTCTGAATCTCCTTACACCAGCTTATTCGAAATAACACGCATGTTTCTTTTTTGATACTTTAACCGAAGGACCTACGAAAAACTGCTGCCCCACTTTAGCCATTAACAGACAGGATGCATGAAAAAATTCTTTTGTCGGACACACACTATGCTGACCTAAACAAAAGCTTCCCCCTCACGCTAAAACAAAGCTATTTCCCTGTAACAAGCATTTGAGTGTAATTACCTGGTCAAGTACAATACATCTGGCCATGGCGGCTGGCACTATAGGGTCATAGCGGAAAGCAGCGTTTCTAGCATTTTCCTACCGTTCTCTACCAATACCACAGAAATAACTTAAACATACATGAGTGCTAATTATCCATAATTTACATGAATACCTATATGCATCCTGTCTGTTAATGGCTGGACCGTAGCAGCAGTTTTTCATAGGTCCTTCGGTCAAAGTAGCAAAAATGAAACGTGTTATTTCAAATAAGCTGGCATAAGGAGACAACAAGGTCCAGACACTTAATGGCACAATTCCATCTCTACCTCCTCTCTAAAGTTCATGTGTCTACTTGCTCACTATATATTACACAACCATTTAGATCAGCTAAAAGTTTTGTTCAACGTTGAACAGTAATTATTTTCAATTTCTTCAGTCACGTAAATGGAACTCTAAAGAAAGACAATATGCAACCTTGCACAAAAAACACATGAACGAACGACTTTAGCACTGCCCAATCATCTACTAAGCAAACTAGAAAGCTTCACGATTCATGCAACTGAAAAAAATAAATCCAACTCCACTGCTCACCCCATCAAACTCGACGAGGAACTCTGTCTTCAGCCTCCGTGTAGCTTCATGCTCATTGTCCTTCCTCTCGCTGAGCAGGGAGTCAACCTCATCTGCGCACACCAAACAAAGCATGCCCAAGCTGTAGCGACACAGCAAGATGATCCAGTAGGTGTGGGCTATATTACAACTTAGTTCGATCACCTTTATCTTTCATGCAGTTGCGCAAAACGAATAGCACGAAGGCCAAAAGAGAGAGCAAAATAGTCAAGGAGGACAAGTGTTTGTTTACAAACACCTACACTCGAGTTCGTTAACAACACTGTTTACACTCAAACCTCACCCAACAAAGTTTCCTCTTACAGCAAATTAAATGCATTATATTCAAAAATTTATAAATAAGGTATATATATTCCCAACACTGTTTATTGCAAGGCCATTTTTCACTTATTTCGTTATAACCGATACTCTGTATACCTGAATTTGTTATGTCGAGGTTCGAGCACAGACAAATTGCCACCGTGTCAGCATGTTTTCCTTATTGCAGAAGTCTCAAAGAGCTCCCGTGTATTGCGGTTCTTACTTCAACACAAAAACTTATCTCTTCCTAGAAGCGCAGAATCGTTAGTGCAGTTTAACTTTACGGAATGAGCGTTGACCAACTAGCCAAACTTGGTGCTCCTCCGCTAGGGTTCTTTCACAGACACTCAAGTCTAAGCACACATGCGCCTATTTCTCTGCCTTCATCGAAATGCAATCGAAGCTTCTGGAGTTCGAACCACTAGACCACTAGACTGCCATAGCAGGTTTGTGAAAGATGGCTAACCTCCCACACAGTGCATAAATAAGATCAAGGCATACACTAGTAAACAGCAAGCATGGTACTGAAATTGAAAGGTCTAAGAATAACTACTAAACGATTACAAATAACACTTAAACCTCAATATAACAAACCCAAACAAAATATGACAAAATATGAGTTATAACAAAAGTCAATAAATATAGTTCTGTAATATATAGTGTTAAGAATGTACCTTAGTAACAAATTTTTTTATATAAAGTTTGAGCGTATTCACGGCAGAAAAACTTGAGCAGTGTTGAGTAGGCACTGGCCGCCTCCACTCACCGATGAAGATGATGCTAGGCTGCAGTTCTCGTGCAACAGCAAACAGAGCTCGAACCAGCTTCTCTCCCTCACCAACCTTTGTTCAGAAAAAAAAAACAATGAGTAATCATTAGCAACAACATGTCCGCAGCTTATTCATATGAGCACTGGGACAAAATGAACAGTCCTGAACACAAACGATCGTCGCAGCCATCCCATATCTGCCTTCTGCCATGGTGGAAGGCTTCATAAATTTTGACCAACTGGTCTTCTTTAACATGACGTGGAAGTATATGAGCGCACAAGGTAAAAAAATGAAAGCCTCTGACAGGAGTAGAAGGACTTCCTTCTACTTTGTGCACTCGTATACTTCCGCATTATGTTGCACCACCTAGCCCAGCATTACACCATTTTCTTTAATGTGCACTGACATTGCACAGGGCACTGGCCTCTACCCTTTCACCTCCATCGTAAGGCAACAGTCGCAGCTGGAATTGAATGTATTTCAACCGAGAAACATGGCAGCTGGGATAGACAAGCATTTCTCTAAAATGACTCGCCATCCGTAAGCAGGGAGTGATCCTAGACTGATGCTTGAGAATATTTGTTCAGAATAAGGCTTTCAGAAACAAATTAGTGAGTCTCAATAGTAAATTTCTTAAAACTTTGCACTTATGAGAAGTGCGAATATGCAAATGAATTAGTAAATTGGTAATTTTATGTTATGCAATATGCTAAGGGTACAGAATTTGGCTCTACGCAAGAATTTTACAAGAACATGAAAAATTAAAAAAAATTCCATTTCTAGCACAACTAGCAATTCCCCTATCCATGCAGTTGAAAAATATGCCCGATACATGCCATTATGACATCACACACATTTACTACCTTAAATGTACAACACAGTTTTGCAGCCCAGCATGGCCAGTGAATGCTTGTGCAGTGCATTGCCTCTTGCTGGCGAAGGAGCACTTGCACAATCTATGCACAAAATTCACTCTCACCGTGTGGTGAGCAGCGAGTCGGTGGCGAGGGAGAGCGAATTCTCCCCAGGCAAGAAAAAGCGGCCTCTCTTTTGTGCTCAAGCAAATCTACCATCACTACAGCCAGACAACGATACACACTAGGGTTGCCACTGGTGGCTACTTTTCGCCAAATTGACAAATTTGAGAGGCCTGTGGCGACCTGAAATTATGAAAGGCGAAATGGCAAATGTTTGGCGATTTTCGGCTTAGGTGTCCACCGAGTTATGCATTGAATACTCAGTGTCTTCAAACTAAATGGGCAACAAATCCGTTTCTAACTTTCGTAGTTCCAGACCCACCGATACAAGGCACACTTAACGCACAATTTAGCATGTGTCTTGTTTCTCACGTATATCTCCTGATTCACCTAAGGAGGTACTGTCGCACTGGAGCCTCCGCCAGCAATTCCCCTGCAAAATTTAGGTCAGTGGACTGCTTCGCGTGCTGTGAGGCAGTGCTGTTATACAAAGTTTTTAGGTGCTTTTAGAGCTTCAAGCTTCTCGAAAGTTTCGCTTCTGAAGTGGCTAGGGGACAATAGGCCGCATGTTCCGAACATAGATTCAACTGTCGTGAATAGCTTGTCGACTTCTTCCGCACTGTAGTACCCCTTAATTTCGTATATTGAGCTTAAATTAGCTTTTTAGAAACTCTTCGTGTGGGCTAACAAGTCTGGCTTTTTTGAGCAGCCTTCATAAATCGCAGTGAGGTGAATGTACAGTTGAACCCCACTACAACGAAACTGATGGGGCACGGAAAAAATTTTGTCGATGCAAAAATTTCGTTGCAGTGAAAAAAATATAGCTGATCTGAACTAGCAATACAAAGGAAACGTTTATTCTCAAGTTCAAAAGTCTGCTGCTTCCTATTCTGTCCCAGCAACATCACGACGCGATTCTCACCCATTTATAGCGAGGCCATGGAGAAAAGCATGCTGAAACAATGCCCAATACCGTCTTCGTGAACGAACCAAGCAGTTGCATTAAAACGTTAACGCCAGCACCTGTCTGCCATCAAAAGTATCCGACAACGCCGAGATGGAGGCAGGGTATCGTGGAGTGGCGACTTTTGCATTATTCTATGCCATTCTTATTATCCATCACTTGCGGATAGCTGATCTTGTTTATAATACGGACGAACGGCCGCTCTGATTAGTTACCACACTGGCCAAGCGCGAAATCTTTGTGTGGGCTATGATAAGTATCGAAATCGGAAAAGGCATCGTTCCGCGGTTGCAACCAGAAGCTGCAAGAAGAAAACCATGAACTGAGCGACTGAGCTTCAGCTTCAGATCGTCTGCGGCTCAAAAGCAAGCCAGCAGGGCAGGCTCGTTGCCATTGCTATCGAGCAATGGCGGCGCCCATGCTTGCTGAACAGCGGCGGTATAGCGGCGGTTTCTGGTGGTGCCAACGGCCGTTTTAGACTTTGTTGACGCATTTTGAGGCTCTGAAAATGCATCGAAATGTTGAAGACTGCTGACGGGGAATTGTGAATTTTTCGTTGTAGCGGATATTTCGTTGAAGCGGCGTTTCTTGTAGCCGAGTTCAACTGTATATCGTAAGCATGATCCATAAAGTGTTGTGCGAGCATTGCAAAGGTTATGCAATACTTCCAATTCAATTATCAGAAACATAATATCATGTAGCGAAATTCTCTAAGTCTGCAGGTAGGCTGCACATGCTTATCTTTTGTAGCGATTGCTTCATCTGGTATTCGCTACAATGGAAGCCATCACAAGCTTTTGTTATGAGGCGCAAGCATGCAGGGATGCTGCTCGTGCATGCACACTCTTTTTCAGGGCTCTTGCGGTGGAGCAGGCTTTGAAAAACGTCAATATAATTCAGGTTTTATGGTTTGTACTGTGCTCCTCGAGGCTATACATACTTGGGAATCGTAAAGACGATAGTCTTTCTTGGGGTACTTCACTGCAAAAATTTTTGTCTTTCTGTCTGTCTGTACATTTGTGTGTCCGCCCTAACGATATACCAAACGGCTGCGAACGATACCCCAAATGGCCAACCCCATCTGCAGATCCCACCAACATTGCTCAAGTTTAAGCGTTCATACTTGTGTGATTGTCAATTAAAAAGCAATTATTGCACATATCTGAGGCACCATAATAACATGTCAATATTCTCTATGTGTGTCTTTATACTAGGGAATGCATACATAAGGAATTCTAAGGGCCGTAGCGTTTATTGCACTGCGCTGACAATGCAACGCTATGCTCAAGAAGGCAAGTGTTTCCAACAGTTTACCAAGACGACACAGGTGGTGGCACCTGCTTATCGCTTTGCACTCTACACCTTATCGCCTCCGAGACAGGTGGGCACACCTTGCTTCGTTTTTGACGATAACTGGCAGGTAGTGCTCGTGTCTAACGTGCCTCGATGCGCTCGTTAGCCTTCACTGCACTGATCAAGGCACTCTAATGCAGCGCCACCAGAATACAATTCACAGATTTCCTGTGATTCGACAACATTTGCAGTGAAACATGCAGATACGGGGCCAACTTTTTAGTACTAGTGATGCCACACGTAGAGTGGCGACTTTTTTGGCAATATTTGAAGAAAAATGGCGACTTGTGGAGACATTTTGCTCGTCCTTTGGCAAACTTCACTTGAAAGTCAGTGGCAACCCTGATACGCGCCGACACACTGAAAGCTTAAGTTGTTCGCTGCTTTGACAATTCCTCCTTTTCTGCTTTGAGCATGAGACACTCTACGAAAAGGTGCTCACGTATTTCGAAGTTAGCGAGGCCGCGCTGATGTTCAAGAATGTAGAGTGGGATTCGTGGGCGACTGCCTTCGCCAGCATAGTCTTCCCGTTGCCTGGTGGCCCAAACAGCAATAGGCCCTTGGGCGGTGCTCTCAGACCTGTGAACAGCTGTAGTGAAGAAAATAATATCAGACTGAACACATGCCCTCTCACCTGAGACTCACTCAACGAACTGCAACAGCAGCACAATCAGTCAAGCAATTTGACTGACTGACGAATGCACGCCAACCAAACAATTCCAATAAACAACTGACTAACCAACTTCAATTAGTTGGGGACTATACTGTCCATGCATCATGCACCCCTATCAATTTTGATGTTTTGGCATGAAGCGAAAAAGCAAAATGGCATTTTAAAAAAGCATTTTAATAACGGTAAGGGCAAATCTATAAGAGCTAGGACAATGTTTTGAAATTTGCTACGCTTAACTCTAAGTCTATTAAACACCTTTTGAAGATCTTCAACATTTTTATTGGAATGTAGGCAATATATACTAGCCTGTATTGTTGCCATAATGTTACTGCAACGTCAGAACCCTTACAGCCCGACATTTGCAATAGTGTGGCTATACTCCATTAATGAATGGTGCTATAAATAGTGTTACAACATGTCCACGTGTGCATGCGCAGGTGCGCATGTGAATACGTAACTTCACAGCATGGCGGACTCTCAAGACACCAAAACCACTATTTTTTTTCCATTCATCGTATATGATAAAATATGTACATTCCAAATACACTCATACTTTGTTATAACAAATTTGCATCTTGCACGAAAATAAGTTTGTTATATTCAAAATTCGTTATAAAGATTTGTTAACAACACTATATTCTATTGCAAGAGTACTTTTTATTTACTCCGTCGTAACCAATATTTCGTTATATCCTACTTCGTTATATTAAGCTTTGAGCACAGTTCAAAATTTTGGAATTTGTCTTCAGACTGCAGAAATGCATTCAAACACTGATATTAACACATTCACACAGCCCTATCTGAATTCGATTTACCGAGAAAGGTGAACGTGCTTCCCAGGTTGCAGAAAAAAGCCATCAACTCACTTCTGGCCTGTCTGTGGGCAGGATCACCATTTCACTGAGTGCTTGCTTGGCCACTTCTTGGCCAGCAATGTCGCTGAAAAGCACCTCAGGCCCACCGTCCACTATCTCGTCGAGGATCATGTGGGCGAGCCGCGAGTCCACGCCTTTTAGCGTCGACACCCGCCTTCCTTCGCTACCGCCCCGGAAGGATCCTCCTCTAGAGCCAGGCCGCGCTGCTGCAGCAGGTGGCTGCCGACCCTAGGGCAAAAGTTTCATGGGAATGTCTCACTTCGACTCAAGATAAGGTATCTCAGTGAAGTGATATTATAGCATTACGGCATACCACAGTGCACAACAGGTTACACAATTGGCACGCACACGAAGGGACGACACAAAGGACGATATTGTAACGTTTTAAGCGATAATATCGCACAGACATAGGAGAGGCAAAGATTATGAGAAGAGGAGAACGAAGAGCTTTGCAAGGCCACAGTGTGCTACCACGAACAAATATCGCTTATCTGTTGTGAATAAACTACTTCATCACAACTCGCTGCAACAGTTGTGGCACTGGTGCGAGATATATAAAAGGCTTTTTTATTTAATGGCTAGGATAGCAGATATTATTCGTAATGTTCTACTCCCGTTGCAATCTTGTTCTCTATCCCAATCCTTGTGGAAGTGATTTCATGAATGCAGTTCACTAACTAAGGTGATCTAGAAACCCTAGGTGTATGTTGTGACGCAGCTTTGGTTGCAAAGCTTCAAAAGGTTAGTTTATTATTTATTTCTTGGTTTTAATGTCTCAGACCAGCAGACCGTTGCGGCGACTACCTTCAGAAAGTCAAGTAATCGTTGAACACCAATAACTTCTCAAATGCTCTCGCACCTTGGGTTGCTGCGCGTTTGGTTGTTGCTGGTTGAGCCGCCGCCTTGCTGCCGTTGGCGTTGGTCCAGCTTCGTTGGCGGCTGGCCGGGAAACTCGTGACGGGGATTTGGCCGTTGTCCGAGCACCTCCGGCCGTCGTGTTCCGAGGCAGTGTCTGGGCCCGTGGGGCGACTGCCTGCGTCGTCACTCCTGGCCGTGATGTTGTTGCGGCCTGGTTCCTCAGCGTAACTGCAGTGCACCAGAGAAGAAACGTGGAAGAGACCGATGAAAATGTACTTCATTTACCGATAAAATTCACAGAACCCACTAGACTCCTTTAAATTTTGTGACGCGACTGTGTTTGGTGCACGAATCTCAAGGTGGCGTCTCCACCCGAATTTTCTTTTCATGCATTCTCTCGCTTACCAAGTGTCGTCTCGTGCTAATAGCAATGTTTTCGGGACTGTGAAACTACTTCACTAAAACGCAAAAAGTTGTCTTTCTCTCTAATGTTCCTTTAAAGCACCAACCCAACTCGGGAGCATATGGCTCACGCATGGTCATTATATCAAAATACCTCTGAGGCCTACAATTCACTGCCAAAAAAACAAGGGCCTATACTGTCCTACTTTTGTCCTGCGCTAACCCTATGACAGTTACTTGCAATTTGAGGCCGTAAAATATTGGCTAGCTTTTGCAATAAAAAAATCATTCTCCCATAAAACAAGTTCACAAGCAAACAATGACCAGCAACGACACTTCAGTACCAAAACTGCAGGTCAAGGCGACATATATATGCAATTGAGCACACACCCCCAATTCGCAATGAGATCAACACCGAGGAGGTGTTGATGAAGAAGGGTGTTCCCTCGAAGCCAAAAGAGACGAAGTCTAGGCCACCCTCTAGCCAACACTACCTGGTCCCATAAAGCAAGACAAACAAATCAATACAGTTAAACCGGTATATAATGAAACTGACGAACTCCCGGAAACATTCGTTATAAAGAGGATTTAGTTATAAGCAGGTTCGTTTAGAAAATTCGAAAAATAAGCACGCAAATCAAATAAAAGGGGAACCGAAGGCAGATCATATTTTCATTACTTCATTAGCGGTAAACAAGCTGCATTAATATTGCAATAGCAATTATATGAACACTCTCAGAGGGATTTCGACGCTGCTGCCGTGTTCCCTAACGAGTCCGAAACAATAACATGTCCTTGTGCATCATAACATTTACGCTCGGGTAAACGCGAGCGAGGGCTGCTGAAGCAGAGATCTAAAGAGCAGGCCCATCTTTTATTGCTTGGAGGGCGGAAGCAATAACATCCCTCAGAGTGTTAGGAACTGCCGTCAAATGCTCAAACAAAGAAACCACCCGACTGCGACTGCAGACGGGGGGGGGGGGGGGGGGGTGTTGCTAGAGTAGTAACGGTGAAATGTTGCACATTGAAACACACATTTCTCCTCTATCAGGTGATACATAACATGATTATTGGGGATTTACATAGAAAAATCACTACTACATGAGAGATGCTACAGTGGAAGCCTCTGAAAGTTTAGACCAGCTGGGGTTGTTTAACAAGCACGAAAACCTTTGGTATACTATACAAGGCTATGCGATGCTTTTTTTCCCTCTCTTTCCACTTTCATTTCCTTCTCTGCCACTGCAACTCGAAGTTTTCTGTACAATCCATGCAGACAAACGAAAAACCTTGCAGCTTTGTTGTAAAAACACACCACAGCTTAACTAATGAATAGAAGAGGGCTGAATGCCACGCAATAAAACACTGACCACCTGAACGCGGCGACAGGGGCGGCGACAGGCAGCGCCGATGCCTGTCATTCACTTGGCTGCCAGGACCGCCATTCTCGGCCATCTTTAGCCACGAGGGGCCGTCCAGTTTCCCGGCTGCGTCGTGGCCAGGTGCCGCCTTCTGCCATGCTCGGCGCTTTTGGTTGGCCTGAGGCCGGGCCACGCCCGCATGCCAGGGCAAGTCATCGCCGAGGTGCTCAATCTTGACCATGCTCTCTGCGCAGCACATGCAAATGCCAGACACATGCAGCAGCAACACAGGGAGGAGGGGCATGCAAGCGGTGTGCCAATGCACTAATGTAATTGTGATACAATCATCGTGTATCTAAATCTAAATACACAGGCCTCAAGCATTTTTGCCTCGACTGAAAATTCACAATAACCACTAGAAGCTATTGATGGGCTCATGAAACATTGCACAGCCGGATGCACATATCGACTGCGGCGGTGGAAAAACTGCGCCTCTACACCTTCCGACAGCTACACGCACAAGCGTGTGTACGATTCCCTTTCAGGGGGGGGGGGAGGGGCAAAAAGGCGGTTTGTCGCAGTGCCTCCTCGCGTGAAGTATGTATAAGACATACTTCACGCCCCCTCCCCTCTTAGGACACAAAGAGAAGAGGAGCAGGTGCCCCCCCCCCTTGCCACCTCTGTACGCACGCCTATGGCTGTGTGCCTAGACTTGCAGTCATTTACTGAGCACATGTATACTTCAATTTGTCTAAAGCTCTTCCATCTGCTTCGTTGCACATACACCATCTCAGCTGCACCCTCTTCCATCCAAACTCGACTGCCATGGCTGGGAATCAAACACATATCCATTATGGCAGTGATATACTTCAGTGGTTAAGCTATTGCAGCAGTTACTAAAAGAATCAACCTAAATGTCCGGCTCTCATACAATGTGACACACATGGAAAGCCAAGCCTGAAGAGATAAGAATTCCCTTTTTTCATTCCCTGTGGTTCCTGCTATGTCGTTTTATTTGTTAGTAGCGTGCTAAAAATTTCGCTCTCCCTGAAATCAATAAATTTTGTCCCCGCAACCCCTACTTTTCAGTATGCCATGCCTTTTGAGCAACTTACGAACTACGAACTATGACACAAGTGAAGCAGGATGTTCCCAAATGGGCTGCACATTAGGTAAAAAAGGAACAGCTCCAGCTATTCGCTTTCCACACCAATTCTGTGCAGTGTGTCGTGAAGCAGCTACATTTACTGCAGGACTCACAACAATGACACCACAATTCAAGCAAACTAACTACAGGCACATGAGTAAGACATCACTGCAAAAATCCTGGCAGATTTCAGGCTAAAAGCCATGCAGTGAAGAGGCGCAAGGGTGCACAGTGCTCACACAAGTTCGCATTCGTCGCCGCACATGTGAACCGAAATGAGAACATATCTGAAATGCTTGCAGAGGGCAAATATAACAAGTTCAGAGGAGAGAAAACAGCCCATATCTTCTGATATGTGTTTTATTTGCGACGTACAATCATGTAGATACTCAACAATTAAACCCCACAACCACTTTATCACAGACAGAGCACACCTGTTCTCTTCAATCATCACTGAGTTATCGCAGTCTTCGAAACAATAAAAATGCCACAAAAGGACCAACATCTTTCAAACTGGATCAAGTAGCACAGCAGGAAACCTGTTTGGCCATGCTGTAGCAGCTTCCCGACTAAGACAAAAAAAAAAAAAAGATTCTGCCAACCTAAGAAGTCGAGCCTGTCCTTGGCCATGTCGAGGTTCACCTTCATCTTGTCTGTAAGCCTGTGCGCTCGCTCCCAAGAAGGACCTGCATTTAGCAAAAAAGATGACAGAAATTTGTTTATCCGTATTTCTTTACCCATGGAAACGAAGTTTTTTTTTTGCCTAAAAAATAGTGGATGCTTTATAGGGCTTTTTGCTAACGCACGTGCGTCTTCTAAACACACGAGTACATGACATTGACTGAACAGACAACATTGTCTTGAAATGATAGCGAAGAAAAATTTTTTTTTTCTTATATTAATAAATTGCCGTTTCACAGATTGAAAATAAGCAAGCTCGCCACGAGAATAAAGTGGCGACAGCACGCCAAACACCATGACCTTGGATTTCCAGGGCACCTGCAAGGCGCTATGTAGTTCCCAATCCATTAAAAATAAGTATATTGTCCAATGATGGGGCCACAGACTTAACATACTATGTTTAAAAAAAATTCTTCAATTCATTGCCCCAAAAACTAAATATACTCCTTGAAACTTATGGTGTCCAGCAAAGATTTCAAACAGACATTTAAAAATGGAACCTCATATACATGCTCCCCCGCATAGTTCATCTGTGTGGCAGTGAAACAGACTATCGGAAACCTAGAGCGCAACACCATTGGTGCGAGGCGACACACAATATGGCCACGGTGGCGCAGTTTATAAACACCGCTTCGAAGGTGATATCAACGAAGTCTGCAAAATAGCCCGACAAATATATTTAGGTCTCCGATCTTGCCTATTTCCTAAATCTCCTTTTTCCAGACTAAAAAGCTAGTTTTCCTGCGATGCACCTTGCTCAACAACATGGCAGCTTGGTCAGTTAAAAAAAAACTATGGACCATCTATTGTGATGGAATGCGAAGCAGCAGAGGTGCGCACAGCATTGACCCGGTTGAAACGGGCGTCGACGTGGGTGCTGAAACAACAATGTGAAGCGAAATTCGGTGTAGCGTTTACTCGAGTAAACGTTTGTTTGAAACGCGAAGACACAGGAGACGGGACGCGCTAAAGACGCTTGCGCTCGGCTTCATTTGGCTCCCGTGTTGTCGGTATTACCCTCGCGCCATCTGTATTCTCGAACGCGATCGGTGTTCCTGACTCGCGCGAGTCGCACCTCGTCAGTGTCGCTGGTCCTCCACTGCCGGCGCTTGCATGCGGCCTCCCTGGTTCACGCCTCGTTGGTGGTGATGCCTCCATTCACGAACGTGATCGGCTGCGCTAACCCTAGCAACGCCGGCGACAGCCAGGAAAGGTACGCGCACACTAGCAGGATGCATGCCGCGACGGCGTCCCGTCTGTCGGCGCCATCACGCGGCAAGCAGCAGCGCGCTGTCCACGTTGTCGGCGCCGCAGTTATCAGATTCTCGAAGCGCGCACAGCGCGTGCACTTGCCGGCTCGCAGCTTCTCGCCGACAGATTGAGGGAGGTGGCACGGGTGAGCCGATGCCCACGTGAGGAGTGGGCTCGAGCATTGCAAGTGGTGGAGAGGGTGAAGCAAGAGAGAGAGAGCTGACACGCGGCGAGCGCTCGGCAGGCGAGAGAGAGAGACGTCACCGCGTACTACTCGAAGGGCGCAACCTACTTGGCACTGCTCCAACACTTGCGGCGAGACGAGGGGTGCGCACGGAGGGACAGCGTTACACAGGCCAGTCAAAGAGCTTCTTCGCATCTGCAACTGCAGTGTATACAGGGTTCTACATTCTTGGAGTGAACACCGCTCTTTGCGGCAGTGCTCTGCAGAGAGTCACTGCATGGCGCGGCCACGCACCAAAACGAAGCTGCGCAGTCACACAAGAGGGCGCGACGCTCATCAGCAAAGCAAAGCAAAGCAAAGCAGCAAAGCAAAGCAAAGCAAAGACAACCCAGCAAAGCAAAGACAACCCGCCCCAGTTCTCTGTAATCGGTTTTCATGTTCTGGGCAGTTTTTTGGTCTTTTTACAATTTTTCTCGGCTAATGCAAGTACTACGCATTTTACGAGTTAAAGGTTCGTCGTAACAGCGTACAGCGAAGTGAACTACACTTGAAGAGTTATCAAGTCACTAGAGTGAAAACTGCGGAGGCGGGGCTTCCACAAAGTCGTGTTGCGGCAGCTTGCGTCTGATTTCGGGTTTTCTTGATCACATCGGTAAGACGTTTTTAAAAAGATACACGTGAGACTTGTGAGTGGGAGTAAAGATTTCAATTGTTTAATGTATCTCTCACTGCCCCATTACAAGTATACTGTTCTTGGCGAACCCAACAGCTCCTTTAAGGCCGCACACTGACCCTCTACGCCACAGAGGCTGTGTTTCATCTTCAAGATGTGGAAATACATGTACGAAACTCAGTGGGCCCTGCAGTGTGACATCGGCACGGCCACACCCACTGCGTGGCAAAGGTACCCGACATGCTTCGCCAATCAACACGATCATGTGATTCCTGCAACCACCTTAACATCGGAAGCTTTCTATCCTCACCAGCCTAGTCAACCTTCTGCTTCCCCAGTACTTGCCTTCTGGGTATCCAGTCTTATTAACGGTTATCATGCCTACGCGATTCATGCCACGCCCGCGCATGTCTCTACTTTTTCGCTTCGACTAAAATGTCCTTGACACCCGTTTGCTCCTTGATCTACTCTACCTTCTTATCCTTCAAGGCTAACGCCCACCATTTTCCTTTCCACTGCACGGTGCGTCGTCCTCAATTCAAGTTAAACCCTCTTCGCATCACTCCAGGTTTTGGGGTGTTACAGGCGTAACTGCCACACCCAAACCAATGCAAGTTTACACACTCAGTCGTCTTATGAACGATGAACAGCTAGCAGAACAGAAAACTGGGAAGCCGACCTTTTCCTTGAGAGAAGTCGATGGCGATTCCTTTCTGTAGTTCCTCGATACCCTTGCGGTAGAGGTCGATGGCCAACTCCTTGAGATCTGCAGGCAGAAAGTCGAAAACTTTGGCCAACGCAAACTGACGAAAATTACGTGCTTCAATTGCGTGTTCTCCGGGAACTGCCTGCAGCGTGGAACATATTCGTACACACACTTACATATGGCTCCTTATGTTCAACAAGTACGGCGAGGCAGCCATTGCATATCCTTCACACGGCATGGCACTTGGCATAGACAAGGTAGCATCAACGGCTTCTATAAGCCACAACACAACTTACCTGTTAGCGCAGACACGTGTCCACCGACACTCTCAGACGTGGTTCAAACCGAAATAAACAGCGTGAAATCAAAAAACAAGAAAAAAAAACAATAAACAAAACAAAGTTAAGGATTGAATATATAAGAGAGCAAATCAAATTTTAACGTCGAAATACGACGTCGCAATCAGTACTTCAAAAATGATGATGATATATGGTGTTTTTTGGCGCAAGGGCCATTTGATGGCCAAAGAGCGCCAGTTCATGGGACGAAGAATGTGGACAATGATTATGATTAGCGGCTGTATAAAGGCCATAAAATTCCTCGCAACAAGGCGGGTAAAAACATACAAGTAATAAAATCATAACCATGGGTGAAAGGTGTGTGTGGTGTGAATAGGTGACAAAAGTTGGTGATAATGAAAAACGATGGTGGACATGTCTGGCATTAGCACAAGTGCCTCACTCGTTCATACCCTTGCGTCCAAGGGCCGTGAGGCAAGTGCTTTCTTGGGTAGCCACCGCAGCAAAAACCTCTCTGGAGAGGTTGTGCTACGGAATGCCCGGGTATACGATATGAAAACTATGAAGTGCTTTTAAAAACGCTAACAAGGATTTATGACTAAAAAGCGGTTCCCTACCGACGAACATTGCCGGGTGTAACGGCATACGTTGTCAGTAGGGTAATGGAAAATGTTGTTTTCTTAGAGTTTCTAACTGTTTACATTGAATTAAAACGTGAAGAACTGTTAATGCCTCACCACATTTATCACACAATGTTGGATCACCACCCGACAAAAGATGTGTATGTGTCATGTATGCGTGTCCTATCCTGAGTCTTGTTAGTGTTACCTCTGTTAGACGTGATTTTGATACTGGTGGCCAAGGGCCAAGGTGCGGCTTGATAATGTGTAGTTTGTTTCGTGTGTGTGTATCCCACTTGCTCTGCCAGTAGTCCCTGAGGTTTCGTTTGAGAGACGGCTTAAGATCAAGGGCCGGGATTGATATGGATGTAATGGCGGTGCTCTCATGGACGGATGCAGCGAGCTGATCCGCCCTCACGTTGCCTTGGATCTCACGGTGCCCTGGCACCCAGCACACTACAACATGCTGTTTGAGTGTGTAGAGTGTGCATAAAATGGAGTAAAGTGAAACGAGGACAGGGTTTTTTTTGTTTTTTAAGACTGTGCAGAGCCGTTACCACACTGAGGGAGTCTGTATATATTACTGCTTTTTGTATTGTGATTGTTTGATGTGTTTAGCTGCCACAAGTATCGCGTAAGCTTCCGCTGTGAAAATACTTGTGCCTGGATGTAGAGGGCCAGCATCCGAAAAAGGAAGGGCCAACAGCAGCGTAGGACACAGAGGAGTTAGCCTTAGAGGCATCTGTAAAAAACTCAGGACGTGTGTATTTGTGTTGAAGTTCCAAGAAGTATGTTCGAATATGGGCAATAGGCACATGTTTCGTAACTTCTAGGAAAGACACATCGCAATCTATAGTCTGCCACTGCCACGGTGGCGGGTATGCTACAGGAGCCATTAAAGTGTGTTCGAGTGACACTCCAGTGTCCTCAGCTAGACCCCTCAGGCGAACTGAGAAGGGCTGCCTCATTGAAGGCCTGTTTTGAAAAAGAATGGAGCTCGACAAGTCATTAATAGTAGAATATGAGGGGTGCCTCTTGTCTGCTTTCACCTTAAGGAAATATACAAAGGACATGTAGGTTCTTTGCAGATTAAGCGACCACTCATTTGACTCAACGTAAAGGCTTTCTACGGGGCTGGTGCGAAAAGCACCCGTAGAAAGGCGGATGCCCGAATGGTGCACGGGATCCAGCATCTTCAAAGCACTTTGAAGTCGCAGACTGATAAACAATGACCCCATAATCTAAGTGGGTGCGAATTAGGCTTCTATACAGGTTCATGAGGCATTTTCTCTCACTACCCCACGTAGTACGTGACAACACTTTTATAACAATCATGGCTTTTAAACATTTTGTTTTTAAATACTTTATGTGGGGTACGAAGGTCAACTTGTTGTCCAAGATTAAGCCTAAGAATTTATGCTCGGCTTTGACGGACAGACGTTGCCCGTTCAGTCGAATGTCAGGTTCCGAGTGCATGCCTCTCTTTCGAGAGAACAAGACACACGTGCTTTTTTGTGGGTTAAGTCGAAATCCGTTTTCATCTGCCCATTTGGAGACCTTATTTAAACCCAGCTGAACCTGCCGCTAACACATGGCCAAGTTGCATGACTTGAAGCCAAGCTGAACGTCGTCGACATATGTACAATAGAACATATTGCGGGGAATGGACAAGTGCAAAGAATTCATTTTAATAATAAAAAGTGTGCAACTAAGCACACCACCTTGTGGCACGCCTGTTTCCTGGACAAATGTTTGAGAGAGCACACTGCCCAAATGGACACGGAATGTCCGGTTTACACGGAATGTCCGGTTTGACAGGTAACTTTCAATTATATGAAACATTCTTCCGCGCACACCAAGGTGGGACAGGTCTCTTAGAATTCCGAAACGCCATGTTGTATCATAAGCCTTTTCGATATCGAGGAACGCAGAGAGAAAATATTGTTTATGGACGAAGGCGTCTCTGATCTGTGCCTCGATACAAACAAGGTGGTCTGTGGTGGATCTACTTTCTCGAAACCCGCACTGAAATGGGTCAAGCAAATTATTTGTTTCAAGAAAATGTACAAGTCGACAGTTTATCATTTTTTCGAAGACTTTGCACAAGCAGCTTGTAAGTGCTATAGGCCTATAACTCGAGGGTAAAGAAGGGTCCTTGCCCTCTTTCAAAATGGGAATAACAATAGCCTCTTTCCAGGAGGTAGGAATAGTTCCAGAAGACCAAATAGCATTGTACAAACAAAGTAAGGTCTTTCGGGTTTCGTTTGGTAGGTTTTTTAACATTTCATACATCACACGGTCAGAACCTGGGGCAGAAGTACTGCAGGAGTTTAGAGATGTTCGGAGCTCAGCTAGACTGAAAGCTTGGTTATATGCCTCGTATCTAGTGGATTTCTGTTCGAGTTTCTGCTTTTCTATTCTTGTTCTGTATTTTTGGAAAGTGTCAGTATAGTAGGACGAGCTGCATACTTCTTCGAAGTGTGCACCGAGGAAGTTTGCCTGATCTTCCAAGGTATCACCTTGAGTGTTTACGAGTGGAAGTGTGTGTACTTGTTTCCCTGCTATCTTACCGACCATGTTCCAGACTTTGGCCTCTTGTGTGTATGAATTGATCCCTGACAAAAACTTCTGCCAGCTTTCTCTTCTGGCCTGCCGACGCGTTCTCCTAGCTTGAGACTTTATTTTCTTGAAGGTGTCAAGATTTTCGGCTGTCGGTGAGTTCCGAAGCAGCCTCCAAGCTTTGTTTTGCTGTTTGCGCGCGTTTCGGCATTCAGAGTTCCACCATGGCACACGCCGTTTTCCAGGGTGTCCATTTGTTTGTGGGATGCATTTTGTTGCAGCATCAATCAAAAACGCTGTGAAGAAGTTGACAGCAACATCAATGTTCAAAGTACATATGCCATTCCAACCTAGACGAGCGATGGTATAAAACTGTTCCCAGTCGGCTCTGTTTATGAGCCACTTGGGAACACGTGGTGGACACTCAGTTACTGTATTTGTGCTCAAAACTACGGGGAAGTGGTCACTTCCGTACAGATTACTGACGACTTTCCACTGGAGTAGAGGCACAAGAGATGGAGATACTATGCTTAGGTCTATGGAGGAGAAGGTGTTATTGGCGAGATTATAATATGTTGATTCTTTTCGATTTAGGAGACACGCGCTCGACGAGAGAAGGAACTGTTCGATCAGTCGACCTCGCGCGTCATACCGAGAGTCACCCCATAGCCTGCTATGCGCATTAAAGTCTCCAAGGAGAACATAAGGTTCCGGAAGTTCATCAATTAAAGAGTGTAAATCACGTTTTTGCAGCTGATAGCTAGGAGGAATGTAAATAGTACAGATTGTGATCAGTTTGTCAAAAAGAACCACTCGAACAGCCACTGCCTCAAGGGATGTTTGGAGTTGTGTGTGCATGCAATTCCTTGATTCACTATGATGGCAACACCTCCGGATGATGTCATGGCATCATCACGGTCCTTTAGAAAAATAACGTATTTACGAAGAAAATTTGTGTGTTTTGAATTAAGGTGTGTTTCTTGTACACACAGCACTTTTGGTGAGTGTTCGTGTCAGAGTTCTTGGATGTCGTCAAGGTTTCTGAGAAGGCCCCTGACGCTCCATTGTATAATTTGAGCGTTCATGGTGAATGTAGAATAATGCTGTGTGTACGAAAAGCGAGTGGCTGTTTAGACGAGGAGTTTGAGTTCACTTAACAGGGCCGTCGCCAGGCCCTGTTATTTGCTTTTTTGTTTTCTTGGCGCACTCCAAGGAGCCACGCCACTCTTTCGGCACCAATGGTGCCGACGTATCCATTGCCTCCTCGGAGGCACTGGATGCCCGCATGTGGGGGCTGTTAGTTCGGATTTTGGGCCTCGCCTGGTGAGGGGAGGCCTTGAGACCCGAAGACTCTGGAGTCTCCGGTCTCTGTTTGGGAGTAGGCGGTGTAGCCTGGGCTACAGCCGCCTTGGGGGCAGGTGCCACAACCGCCGGCTCGGTATGCGCGGGCCGAAGGGGTGGCGAGGGCTGGTGCGGCGGTGCCCCCTGACGCGCCGCATCAGCGTATGTAGGTCCGTAGAATGGAGCGACTCTTCGCCCTGCTTCCTTAAACGTAATGTTCTCCTTCACCTTCAATGTAATT